ACTTCTCCCGTCTGGCCTTCTGTGCTTTTCCAGCCTTACACCTATTGACTCTGGCTTCCACCATCTGTAGTCCTTATTGTGGGCTTGTTGGGCCAAAGGGCCTGTTTCCACACTGTAGGAATTCTATGAAAAAGGTCTGTTCAAAAGTCTGATAGCAGTGGGGAAGAAGCTGTTCTTGAATCTGTTGGTATATGTTCTCAAATTTTGTATCTTCTGCCCGATGGAAGAAGGATGAGAAAGGTATAGGATTATGTTGGCTGCTTTCCTGAAGTAGTAGGATATATGTTTGTGTTATAGTGATTGATGTTTTGATCAGGGTAGCCATGATCATACAGGATAGTTTTGGTATAGTCCATCTCAGTGTCAAATTCCAACAGTGAGCTGATGACCAGGACTCTATTCACAAGGTTGCCAATAAGACAGTGATCTTGTAACATATGGAACCAGAGGAATTCCAGTGTGTGGACTGACAATTGAATGTGGGCTTTCAGTATAAAGAAGTAGTGAGCCCACTGGAAGGTTTCTAAACTGATACATCAAGAAAAGCAAGCTTGTTCGATGCCCCATTTCAGCGGTTAAATTGAAGACAGGATGGAGTTCAGTAAGCTATGTAAAGATGCAGCAGCAGTGTTAAATATTGCAAACCTGTCATCTATGTATCGGAAGTATGCAAATTTGAATCGCAGGTGAAGCTTGGTAACTCACGATGCGTCTTTGCAATAAACCCACAGTGTTTTTCTGTCCAAACAGGATGCTGCTGTCAAAACAAAAAGACATTTTTCTCACAACACAAATGAATAATGAGTATGTGAGTTTCAGTGCCAGTGTGATGTCAGCTATGTAGGTCATACATTTCCAGAACTGGTAGAACGTAACAAGCAACGAGTTCCATTGGACCATTCACAGTTGTCAGCTTGCTGATCCTACATAACCAGTTTAACAAAGCTCCTGAATAGTATGTCTATCATAACATCTAATTGAGCTATTGGCCATCATTTATTAAATAAGCTGTGCTTAGAATTACATGGGAAACTAATTTAGGGTTCATTTGGGCTCACAAGATAATATATTAGTGCATGTTAGATGCTACATATACTAACATACACAGCCTTGTTTTCTGTAGGCAAAAGGAATTTGTACATACATTATATCTTTTTCATTGGAATAAATATGGGCCAGGGAGATTACCAATCTTTGCTGTATTCCCGGGGTAATCAGATTCTGCTTGACTGGTCTGAGAATGAAGATTGACAGTTAAGTATTCCTACTATATCTCTATGCCAATGATGGCCCAACCAATTAGCAGCCTCTTTACATGCTGTCTAAATAGGTGTCCTTGTTTCAAGTTGGCTTCTTGCATCCTAATCTTAATGAGTGCGAGGTGAAAAGCTTTCACTTCTTGACTCCTTTAAGCAATGTTTACCTGCTGTAAATCCAAACAATTACATATCTGGAAATTTAAGATAGCAGTAGAAGTGACTATAAAACTATTGGAATCTGGTGAAAGCACAATGTTTTATTAACATCTTTATTTTCCTAAAGATTTGATTTGAACTGGCTTAATTGTGGGCCCCGCTTCACACCAACCTGGGTGACACTACTCAATCCTCTGTAGGGCCTAATGCTTGGAATTGCAATTCGGAACAACATTGTGATAATGTTTCACTGCAGAGGTCAAGAATTCTAACCACAACTTTTTCACTCCACCAGCACAGAGCAAATAATTCCAACCTTGCCAACAAGACCCACAAGCTGAGATTAGAAATGAACCACAGTGATTTAAAATAGTACAGAAAAGCCATTACCCAATTTGTGATATTTCTGCAAAGTAAAACTGTGCACAAGTTTCATTCCTCTTTCTGGAGTGAAAATTCTACAGAATGCCAGGAATGTGGTTTGACGTTTGGTAATTTTGCACTGCGTGGCAGCTCTGTACAGTCAGATGGTAAACTGTCTGATGTAGACCCTTGGAAGTACTGGCTCAGCATTGTTACAACCCCAAACACTGGGATCTCCAATGTACTATGGTTACAGATGGGATATCTCAAAGCGTTAAGCTCCTGGGTGATGAGGGATGAACAGGCTCCTGCTGGTTACTCACATACCCCCCACAGGGTCACAATAAGGTTCCCTTCATTTTTCCCACACCCAAATGCACTTGGGTTTTGAAAGGAACCAGTTTAACCAGGCTTTCTTGAATTTAGGAAAATTGAAAATTTATTCATTATTAAACGGGAGATGAAATACTAATGTAACATATATAGACCCAGAGGAGAAATAAGAGGCAAGTTAAAAAAGACAGAAGCAAAAAAGAAAGAAGTACGGACCAGTCAGTGAATTTTTCATGAAGGTCAGATAAGACAACATTGTGGCTATTACTGGATAGCAGCAGGAGTGTTGTAAATTTTGAAATTATTGATTTTGTAAATTGGCAGAAGTTAGGTTGGTCTGATTCCTTCAATGGTGACTGAATTCCAACATTCCAAGTGAGTGAGAGCCTTTCCTTTTGTTTTACCTGCAGTACAGGTGTGTTTGAAACAGCTATTCCCAAAGCCATGGCCTTCACAGTATTCCAGTCCACACATTAGAGCATGCAGCCAATAACAATAGTGTTCTGGATAGGTTTTAACTTGTTCTTGTATATTCCTGGAAGGGCTGGTGATGGGGGAGGGGATGATGTGTTGGTGTGGGTGTGACACAGACTTGTCTACAAGAGGTGGCTTTCTGGTGAGAGAGGTAGACATTCAGGCCCTTGTAATCTCTTCTTGTTAAGTCTTTTCTTATTTGAGATTTCCCTGACACTTTTCCATGCGTCTCTCACAGGACATTGCCAGTCAATGACATTGTAGCCATCCCTTTGTTTCTTAGAAGAAACACATAATGGACTTAAAAGCCTATAATTTTTTTTTGGTTCTGATCCATCATTGTAACAGTACACAGTATAAAGTACAGTACACAAAGGATTACAATTGACCAACAGTAATTTCCAAGAAATTGGAATTGCAATTATATTCCAATGAATCCCTCATATGAATGTACATGGGGAGGCAATGGTGCAGTAATATTGCTACTGAGCTATAAGGCTCTAGGAACATCCCACCAAGGCAGATGAGGAAATTTGAAATCAATGATAAAAAAAACTGCAAACAAATAGCTAGCCTAATGGCCACCGCGTTAGTGTTGTTGATGGTCTTGAAACCCCATTTAATCTACTAATATCCTTACCTGGTTTTGCCTACATGTGACTGCAGACCTACAGCAATATGTTTGACTCTGAACTGCCCCCTCGGCAATTAGAAATGGGCAATAAATGCTGGCTGAGCCAAAGCCAAAAAAAAAGTGGATAACATTGCATGTGTTTGCAACTGTTTTTGTATTCTTAAACTGTAACCAGTTCAGATAGGGAAAAGGGAAAATTTATGCATTCAGGGGATCAGAATATCCACAAAGTGTCTGTGCGAATGATTCTTGCTTTTATGTTCATTCGTGGAAAGGGGTGACTTTTAATCACCTTGGGGGAGAAGCCTAATTGTACCAGACTGGGGTTTGTCCCTTTTCTACTTGCCAAGCAGTGTTCTGGACAATAATGTGAGTAGAATGACATTTTCATGTGGCCAGCCAGAATCTCAGTGACAGTGGGAAAAGGCATGGGTTTCTAATTGCTGTAATTTCTAATGATATAGTTGGTGTATTAGTTGCCAAAGCCCTGGAGAACCATAGGGCTGCTCTCTCATTAGAGAGAATCAGAGGAGGGGTGAGGTTGAGAAGGTGGGACCTCCACAGTAACCTTAGTTAGTCTGAAGGGTCTATTTCCGTGCTGTATATTGTATAACTCTATGACTCTATAACTGAACCTGCACTGTTGGCATCACTCTGCATCACAAATCAGATATCCAGCCAACTGAGCTAACCAATTCCCCGAGAAATGTCAGACCTATCCTCCAATTTATTATTTTTTAAATGCCTCTTATTAATAGGGAAAGCACAAAGTAATTCTTTGTAGCTGATTCTGTATCCAATGCATGTATTAGAATCAACCTGTGTGATATAGTTTTAAAACCAATTCGATTTCAATGTGATGCTCAAGTGATCAACCATTGATGCCAATGTGGTAGGGGGCAAAAGACACATGAATAAATAAGTTAAGTGGTTTCAAATAAAAGGTAACTGCAGATAACTCAATAAATTACTACAGATCTTTCCTGTCACTGGTATTGAACATTTTGCAGTTTGAAGCTGTCCCCTCTGAGAAAATTAATTTCTGTATGTTGCAAATGGAGTAATTATAACACTGAGTCCCAGTTATACACCCAACAGTTTCTTTCTGCCTGTTTATGAAGCTCCTTGGGATGTTCTACTTGTTAAAGGCACTATTTAAATGCATGCTCATCTGCAAGATGATATAAATGCATTAGCTATGCCTTTGAAGTAATCAATTTAGAAATATAGTGGTGGGACAAAGCAATGGGTCTGTTAATCAATGATTAGGAAAAGCTCAGTCTGGGGAGTTCAATTGATCTGCACTTGACAACAGAACAGTTGGGGGGAGAATATCCTTTGCATAGATATACAAGTGAAAAATGTTCATTTCTGGGTTTGTGCTGGGAGCTCTGATGCAAAACTACATAAGTTAATTTTAAATAATTACTATCCTCAGAGTCTAAAGCAGTAGCTGATTTAAATTTTAGGGAAAGAAGAGACATGCTCCTCCAACTGAAATCTGGATCATCCGTACATGAGGCAGGTATAGTCGCAGATCAGTCGAGACGTTAACCAGGCTTCCCCTGTTCTTATGTCTCCGCCTCACTCAATGTAAAATTCAAAAGATACATAGGGGGTCTCAAATCCTTCTGTACATACAACTCTGCAAAGTGAGCTACTTAAACTGTTGGCCAATAGCCTTCTTTCTCCTTAAAGCTAAAGTTCATCGAAAACATTAAAAAATTGTATCTTTTGCAGTCTTGGTATTGTTTTGACACATTTAACATTTCATATTACAGAGAAGAGAGAAACAGACCTGTCCAGAACTAAAAGGCGTGGGAGCTGTGAATGGACCATCAACTCACAACTCCACTTGCTCGAAAGAAGGAAACTAAACAATGACATCAAGTATTGGATACAAATATTTGGATTCATTCTCAAGAATTAGGTGGATTTGCAAAGAATGTATAACACAAGAAACAAGCCTATGATATTTATGTCCTAATCAAGGCCCTTTCCATTCATATTCATCTATCTCTATCAATATAACTCTGTATTTACTGCTCCCACATCTGCTTGTTTCGCATTCACTTGAATACAATTTATCTCAACGTTTACAGATTCCACATTCTCATTACTCTCTGTTAAAGAAGTTTCTTCCGAATTCTCCATTAGATATCTTAATCACTATAATGTACTGATGGCCTCTAAATTTGATGAAGCAATGTTATATTCCTGGTGTATATATTCTAATACAGTTAATCCAAAAACATTCTCAGGCCACATTATAGTATTGCCTCTTATACAATCAGTCATTCTCATCACCCAGTACAACAGCATGGCTCAATCTGGTTGACCCGAGACTGTTTATTGTTGTGTAGGAAGGCTTGTGTGTGTATGTTATTTTCCTGTTGGTGTATATTCCTGCATATTATGATGTGGGATCAGGAATTTGAAAAAATATATAAATCTTGTGTGAACCCCTAATTTGATCTCAAATTATTTTAATAAAACTGGGGATGCTGGAAAACAGAAATTGCTAGAGAAAATCAACAGGTCTGGCAGCATCCCTGGAGAAGAAACTATTTTCAAATTATTTTCCTTGGCCGGTCATTCTGACAGATAGTTTTACCTCACTGTTGTGCTGTCATGACCATCCTGCTAGAATGGAGTGCTCTTTCGTCACCAGACTGTAAACTAAAAACTACTTGCCAATGCTGTATTGGAGGCAATCATGTGGAGTGTATTTCCAAACAATTTGTATATCAAAAATATCATTGTAACTGTAGTGGTTAAATGAACAATAAGCCACGCGAAGCTCTAAATGTTTTCCCAAATGGCTTGTTTCTGTGCTATAATTGTTCTGTAACTCTTTTACTGCCTGTTCTGCAAACCTCGTTATGTCAGGAGAAAAAGGAATCCAAAATGTGTCAGTAGAAATCCTGATTGTGTGGTGCTAATATTTAGCACTTTATTTTCAAAGATTGTATTCATGTAGCCTCTTTGTTGGTTAAGATGGCACTTCTCTCTTCCTGTACATACATTATGTGATGTAAATAGTTAAACTCAGAACAAGTGGTTTCTTTTTTCCATTGGTGATCTTTAATCTTGAAGTGATATTACATGATCCTGAATCATCTCTACTTTGTATTTATAAACGTAGTACCAATTTGTTGTAGAGCAGTAGCATGCAAATTTTTATAAGCTCCAGAACTACTAAAGTGTGAACAGTGGGATGTAAAGAGTGATTTAACAATCAAGCCATCACTTAATGAATTATTCCTTGTATCCCACTATGGCCAATCAGTAATCCTAGACATGTTTCACACGCTGTAGTTTCTGATCCACCATCTCTTTCGTACAGTCCCACTTGTTTTCATTCTCTCACCTCTCCCTGGGGAATTGTTGCATCATTAATCATAAGTCTACTTTCAGAAATAAACTTTCTTTGAGGTCAGCAACCTTCAAGTCTGTTTCTTCTACACCTTAAAATGAGGAGTTGTTTGTGCAAAAATATTAACTTTCAGCAATTGTTATGAAACAGCATTCAAATATATACAAGGAGAAATTTATATTTCACGTGTAAATTAATACAGCATAAGGGTTTATTTTTACTTTGAATGTAAAAGTTATATTGAAACATGCATTCCTGACTACTTACAACCTATTAAAGAATCATTAATTAAAGGGTGACAATGTTCAAAATCAAAAGGGGGGGATTTTGGTGCAGTGGTGGCGTCCCAAGTACTGGGACAGAAGCTTCAAGTTCAAATCCTACACCAGGGTTTGACGATCAAAGAACAAAGAAAATTACAGCACAGGAACAGGCCCTTCGGCCCTCCAAGCCTGCGCCGATCCAGATCCTCTATCTAAACCTGTCGCCTATTTTCCAAGGATCTGTATCCCTCTGCTCCCTGCCCGTTCATGTATCTGTCTAGATACATCTTAAATGACACTATCGTGCCCGTCTCTACCATCTCTGCTGGCAACACGTTCCAGGTACCCACCACCCTCTGCGTAAAGAACCTTCCACGCATATCTCCCTTAAACTTTTCCCCTCTCACATTGAAATCGTGACCCCTAGTAACTGAGTCCCCCACTCTGGGAAAAAGCTTCTTGCTATCCACCCTGTCCATACCTCTCATGATTTTGTAGACCTCAATCAGGTCCCCCCTCAACCTCCGTCTTTCTAATGTAAATAATCCTAATCTACTCAACCTCTCTTCATAGCTAGTGCAACATCCTGGTGAACCTCCTCTGCACCCTCTCCAAAGCATCCACACCCTTTTGGTAATGTGGCGACCAGAACTGTACGTAGTATTCCAAATGTGGTCGAACCAAAGTCTTATACAACTGTAACATGACCTGCCAACTCTTGCATTCAATACCCCATCCGATGAATGAAAGCATGCCGTATGCCTTCTTGACCACTCTATCGACCTGCGTTGCCACCTTCAGGGTACAATGGACCTGAACACCCAGATTTCTCTGTGTATCAATTTTCCGCTGGGCTTTTCCATTTACCATATAGTTCGCTCTTGAATTGGATCTTCCAAAATGCATCACCTCGCATTTGCCTGGATTGAACTCCATCTGCCATTTCTCCGCCCAACTCTCCAATCTATCTATATTCTGCTGCATTCTCCGACAGTCCCCTTCACTATCTGCTCCTCCACCAATCTTAGTGTCATCTGCAAACTTGCTAATCAGATCATCTATACCTTCCTCCAAATCATTTATGTATATCACAAACAACAGTGGTCCTAACATGGATCCCTGTGGAACACCACTGGTCTCAGTTCTCCATTTTGAGAAACTCCCTTCCACTACAACTCTCTGTCTCCTGTTGCCCAGCCAGTTCTCTATCCATCTAGCTAGTACACCCTGGACCCCACACAACTTCCCTTTCTCCATCAGCCTACCATCGGGAACCTTATCAAACGCGTTACTGAAGTCCATGTATATGACATCTACAGCCCTTCCCTCATCTGTCAACTTTGTTACTTCTTGCTATCCACCCTGTATTTGTAACATGGCCAAATAGGTTGTTTTTCAGCCTATAAATCCTTCCAATACATCTGATAGCAGAAGGCTGTTTTAGTACAGTGGTAGTGACCCTACCTCTTAGCCTGGTAAGCCTGGGTTGAAATCCCACCTGCTCCAGATGGATGTTGTAATGCTTTTGAACAGGTTGATTCAAAAATATATGCCAGTAGGCATGAAGTTTGGGAGTGTTTGCTAGTCAGCCATCCTGCAGAAAGCAATGGCAGGACCTTTCCCATAAACATCGACCAACCTATAGTGCAACCCTCAGAAATGAGGGCAGGAGAAAAGATGGAGAGGCAGGTGTTCCAATTTATTGATGTGTCCATTGTGGCTTAAATGGGTAGTGTGTTCACATCTAAATTAGTAGTTTATGGATTCAAGTCCCACTCCAGAAAGCATAAAACTCAGCACCTTCTATAGGGTAGTACTGGGACTCTTGCTCCAAGTCTTGTTATTAATCGACTCAGTATAATGCTTCACTAGTTCATTGTGACCAACAGAGTCTCTCATAACTGGATTTTAAAATCAGCCATGATGTAAACAGAGTGATGCTGAAATATCAAAGCAGTAGTACCTAGAACTAGCTGAAGTCACTCCAAGTGTAAATGTAACTGTTCTCCCTCTGTCCCTCAGCTCTTGAAGTTGCACATGGAAACGTTCAGTGGACCTGTGTGTTTCCTTGCGAAATGAAGTCTCATGGTATCAGTGTGGAGATGAAATCCAGTCTTTAACCCAATCTTCAGCCTGTCAAGAACAACATGGGCACACTGCTCAATGCTCTCATCCAATTGCATTCTTGTGATTTTTTACTCAAATTGTTTAATTTGATTGATCAATCGATCAAATTATTGGTGAACCAGTATACAGTTTTATTTCAGGACGGCTAGGAATGGACAATGAACATGTCCTTGCCAAAGTCACCCGTATTCTACAAACAATTAAAACAAAATGTCAGAAAGTCAATCTCCAACATTTTCTGATGTGCATTGTTTTCCATGAGGTACCTGAATACTCACAAACTACAGAAAATCTATTCTTAAAAGTATTTCTGTGTCTTTCTAAGCATCTCTTAAATTATTTTCTGCAGTATAAGACAAGTAGATACACCTGGACATATGCATATATATTATACATGATAATTGTTTCCCTCAAGCGAAGAGACAGTTCTACGATGCAGATAATGGGCTGATTTTAACACATTGAAAACTTAGCTACTTGTACAAAGTCAAAATCCAACCGCATCCTATACTGGTTAAACTGAGAATTTACACATTGTAAAATTGAGCTTCCATCACATTTATTACTGGCAACATCATAAATTTGTTCTTGTGATACTCAACGCCTGAGTGATGTTGTCCCCAAAAGATTCTAGATATAAAAGCCCCAATTGCAATCTTCTGCATTGCTAGCTGTTGTTGTATGATTGCAATGCTCATCTTAATCATATTGGGAGGTTTGAATCTTTTTGTTGGTCAGGTTTTATTTCAATTCAACAGCTGTGCTTCCAGCCCACTTTCAGTGCTGTTTGGTAGATCTCATGAAACGTCCAGATTATGGGTCTAACACAAGCCATAGTAAATGACTGGTCTGATCCAGGAAATGGATATGGTGCAAAATGAATGAGAATTGAAACTGTCGAATGAGCAACATGTGAATTTATCATCTTGAATGATAAAAACTAACACATTCATAAATTAAGATACTTCCTAACTAATTTGTTCAGCAATGTTATCACCTAGTTCTGAAGCAGGCTGGACTTGAACCCAGGTCTACTGGCTCAGAGGTAGGGACACTTTCAATGCACCACAACAACACTCATAAATTTTTAATACTGGCTAACTGAAAGCTCCCTTTAGATGACCATTTTCATCCCAAACCATTTGAACTCTGTCACCCATATACTCCCTGATGTCCACTCCCTGATCATTTTCCCACTGATAACCCTGATATACATTGATTGATGAGCTTTCCTCCAAAGTTGGTGGGGATGCCAATCAAAAGTCAGAGTGGGCACATCTCAGCTGCAAAGCAATCTGTAAGACTGAATAATTCAGTTTTGCTTTGATACTACCCTATTCATGACCAGAGAGCAGCCAACGGATAGTTAACCCACCAGGCTGTATGCAATGTGATTATACCATGTCACTTGTCAATGAAATGGAGAGAGATAGTGAGTAATACAGAGAAAGTGTGACTATGCATCTTTCGTCTTCCGACCCCTGGGCTTGATCTGTTTGAGAGTTATGACAGAGATTCTGACTCATCAATATAGTGAGGAAATCCTCTGAAATAACCATTTTTGTTGCAATGTACATTGATAGATGGACAAGTAGTGTATGTCCTTTTCATGTTAGTGATAAAGGTGTAATAATCAATTGCTCATCAGGGATTGATTAACTCGTGGGTTTATTTAAAACAATAAAACACACAATGAAGCAGAGATTATAGCAACCACCCAACTTTGTGCAACTTGAAAATCCCTAACACACTAACTACCAGGTAGTGTGACAACACTATGACTTTAAGAGGTATTTTATCTTCATCTTTTTTCAATGAAGAAAGTTTGAGACTGAGATTCCAAGCAGGGTGCCCAAAGCCAATATGGAAGAACAGAGAGTTAGGACTGTGAGATTAGCAGTGGAAATAGCAGATGATTGTGAGTTGCTTCACAAATCAAAGTTTGGCTTCCAGCAACAATTTTAATCTGTGAGGGATAGAAATTGGGGAAAAGAAAAATCCTCAGGTGGCAGGGGAAAAGGAGATCTCATTAAAGATAGTAACGATTATTTACCACAGGGTTAAAATGCAAACGCATGAGGGGGAAAGAGAAGTTAAAAAGTCAGGTATTTTCACTGCAATAAAGTAGGCCACATGAAGTTGCAGTGGGAAAACAGGATAAACTTGTGAGTTTTGTTGAAATAGTAAAGGAAAGTACAGCAGAAGCTAAAAAGCTCCAAAAGGATGTACAACCTAATCAATCTTAATTGATTCAATAGCACCCCTCCCTAAAACAAAAAGTAGGAATCAATATTTTTTGACCATAATGTCTACTAGTATTTCCAGAGGCCATTCCATTCTTCAGTATCACAGTTAAAAGGATTCTCTAAGAGTTACACAATTTTTTTACTAGACTTGAACTACTCACAGAAATACAATCAGATCAAGGGTCAAATTTTACATCAATATTATTTAAGGAAGTTATGGATAGCTTAGGAATAAAACAATTCAAATCGACTGCATACCATCCAAAATGACAGGGAGCATTAGAATGGTGGTATCAAACTTTAAAGATCATGTTGAGGGCTTATAGTCAATGGTATCCAGAGAATTGGTATAAAGAAATTCTATCTGTACATTTTGCAATTAAGGATACACCTAAAGAATCAACTAAATTCAGTTCATTTGAATTTTGGAC